CTTAGAGAGGGGGAAAACAAGGCACCTACAAGTACTCCCCTCATATTTCAGATGAGGAGACCGAGAGTCCAAGAATTTAAGCCTCTTGCTCAAAGTCACCTGCTAGCCTGGTGAGTTATGACTGAGTTATGATGCAACCTCAAATCTGTCTGCTTCCAAACCCACATCCTTCCTCCATCCTGGCAGGGTTTACATTTGTTAATAGCAGAAAAACAATTAGGTGGGCTTGCTAGAGAAAGCTAGATTCTTTTGGAATTAGAGAGAGAGAGAGTGTGTGACCAAGTGGGGTTCATCACCAACCTCTCTATACAATCAGGTTGTGCTGCTAACTTAGAAAAAAAACCCATTACTGAAGAACAACAGATCTGAAACCTGAATGATTGCAGGTTACCTCGTGCTCAATGAATCACCAGGTGCAGATTCCGGTGTCTCCTGAAAGACGAAGCAGTAGGTGGGCGAGAGAACATCTAAATCACCACTTCAGGCAGGGAAGTGCATGTGACAGGCACATGTTGAAGCCCTTTCTTTTCTACAGAGTTAGAGCTTCCAGCTAAGCATATACACGCCTCCCACCATCTTCTGAAATCCACCTGAGGTAGGATTATTTGAAAAATAGATTCCAAAGGGTCTGAGTTTTTGTGTTCTGCATGAAAATCAGTGAAAGCAAGTCATTCTATGGCAGCGGTTCTCAACCTGTGGGCCACGACCCCTTTGGGGATCGAATGACCCTTTCACAGGGGTCTCGCAATACACAACAGTAGCAAAATTACAGTTATGAAGTATCAATGAAAATAATTTTATGGTTGGGGGATCACCACAACATGAAGAACTGTATTAAAGGATCGTGGCATGAGGAAGATTAAGAACCACTGCATGGGCTTTGGGGGATCAGGTCACATTGGGTCCCATCCCCACCCCATTACTACTGTCCTGCATCCCCTGGGCAAGCCATGTAGTCTGCTGGGACCTCAGTTTCCTCCTCTGTGCAATGGGCATACTGCTACTTCCCAGCCCTGTTGCTGCCAAATCCATCCTGACTCAAGAGTAATCTTTGGAAACAGGATAACTGACTTCCGTGGTGGTAAATCTTCAGGGCAGCTGACTGCTACATCTTTCTCCTAGAAACGGTGACCTTTTGGTTAACAGTCAATAGTTTAATCAGTGTACCCTACCCCCTGGGCTCCTCATAATCACCCTGGTCATAACAATATTAAGTGAGAGGATGAATATAAGGCCTTGACCAGCAAACTTGGTCACACTCCATTTATTCACTGAAGTTGATGACAAGCAGCAAGTCCAAGAACAACTAAAGGCAAAGAGGTGCCTATAGACCCTGCCTCCCTGTCACAAATGCAGTACTGAAGAGTCAGCAGTGGCTGCATGCACGTGGAAGCAACTGTTAATATTTCCTATGAACGCTCTTGCTAGTGGGGCAGGGGAGTGAAGTGAATTCTTCAAATGAACTCCAGCATAAAGATATAAAAAAAGAGCTCTTAACACTTCCCACCTAAGTCTTGGGGACAATTAATAAACATAGCACTTCGAAGTGCCTGGGAAATAAGGAATGCACATATCACACACACACAGGCAAAAATATATATTTTAATGCACTAAGATTACTATATAAATTTAGATCAGGGCACAGCATGTCTCAGAAGAGTAGGATAGGAACAATATGTTCTTGCATACGACACCAGGCTCATGACAAATGATTCATAGCCAGCAACCTTCATGCCAAAAGATCCCCCAGGTGTTCCACCAACTCTAGCAACGGTTTCCATCAAGCAGACTGCAGCTTAGAAGAGGCACCTCACACCCACGGCTGAAGCAGGCAGTCATGTCTTTCACACAACTGGACACGTCCAATGTGGAGGTGGCAGGAAAGAGAAGGAGATAAGAGAACAAGCCAGAAGCCTGATAGGCAGTCTGTAATTATCATACATTTGCACCTTTGATGCAGGTGGTATTGTAATGAGAAGTTCATCTAGGCAAAAGCTTTTAGCTAAAGGTGGGCTAGGCTCAGGGGCTGGGGCTGGCTAGTGGCACTAAGTGGCTGGAGGCAGCTTTGTCAATAGGCGGGCAAGGAAGAACCTCCAATCCTGTCCTCCGTGAAGGTGAGCAGATTCCCTGCCCTGGGGGAGAAGAGCTGCTGAGGAATTCGGGTTTCAGACAGGTGGATAGAAGTTAACAGCCAACAGTTATTTCCTCTGCACATTCTGGCATGAATTTCAGGGTTAAAATGCATCTGGCAGACAGGGCTCCCACTTTAGAGGTGAAGAAAGTCATGCTCTGGAGGGTGATCAACTTGACAAGGTCACATTCCAAATGAGCAGACCTAGAACTCAGGTCTCCACTCAACTTCTCATGTCATAGAATGGCCTGCCAACAGTTTCTTTCGTTCTCTCCTCCCTTTAAAAATATGTTAAGTGTTGTGTCTCCTACGCATCCCATGGATATAAGCAGGGTTGGCTTTGTTTTAGAGGTCCAGGATAACAAGGATTTCTCTTCCTGTACAATCTGTATATTTCTACTGAGGGGAAAATAAAACCAACGTGGGCAAGTGGGGCCTAAGTTGGGGGTGTCCTTAGGGCAATGGTTCTCAGCCTTCCTAATGTCATGACCCCTTAATAGAGCTCCTCATGTTGTGGTGACAACCCCCCAGAACCATAAAATTATTTCGTTGCTACTTCATAACTGTCATTTTGCTACTGCTATGAATTGTAATGCAAATCATAATGTGTTTCCTATGGTCTTAGGCAACCCCTGTGAAAGGGTCATTAGACCCCCAAAGGGGTCACGACCCACAGGTTGAGAACCACTGCCTTAGAAGATGTGCTAGTCCAGAAAACAGGAATCTCATGAGTTGACATGATTTGAGTGTGTTCACTTTCAACATTCACCTCCTTGTTTATTGTCCCTATACTTCCTCACAGTTCCCTGATATCTCATCCAGCCAAGCCTTGATCCCAAGTATGTCTCCACTACTAGGTTTGTGAGCACCACTTGGGAGGGTCAGTGTGTGGCCATGGC